TATTATTATTATTATTATTGTGGAACCAGGGATTGAACTCAGGCCCTTGTGCTTGCCAGGGAAGTGCTTATTCTACCGAGCCATCTCCCCGGCCCTCCCAAAATATTATTCAGATGTAATGCAATCTCAATCAAAATACTATTAGCCTACCTCACAGAACTAGGGAAAACTCGCCTAAAATTCATTTGCAAAAAGAAGAGACCTAGAATGGCAAAGGCAGTCGTTGGCAGCAAAGGCAAGGCAGGTTGCAACACAATCCCTGATTTGAAGTCACATTACAAAGATACGGTGATAAAATCACATTTGGTATTGTTAGAAGAACAAATCTGAGGGTCCGTGGAACAGATGAGAAGATGCACATGCAGTTCCGAACACATTCAGACACTTTATTTCTGACAAAAAGACCAAACATGTTCATTCGAAAGATGGTTTCTTTAAAGAATGACGCTGGGAAAACTAGATTTCCACATACTGAAGACTAACACTGGGCCCATGTTTATTACCCTCCATGCAACTCAAGTCAAACTGGATCAAAGATTTAAGCATTAAAACAGAAGCACTAAAGCTACTGGAGGAAAACACAGAAATCTCAAAAGTAATATTTGTAGGCAGCTATATCAAGCAAAAGCAAGACTGCACAAGAGATGCTGCAAAGAACCAATAACTGGGACATGACATTACTAGAAAGCATGTGCGCAACAGAAGAAATCACCAACACAGTGAAAAGACAACCATAGAATGAGGGAACTTACAAGCATCCATTGTCCCGCAGACAAAGGATTTCTATCTAGAACATATTAAGAATTAAAAATAGGGGAAAAAAGAATTAAAAATAGGGGGCCAGGGAGATGGCTCAGTAGAATAAGCACTTCCCTGGCAAGCACAAGTCTGAGTTCAATCCCCAGTTCCACCAAAAAAAAAAAAAAAAAAAGGATTAAAGATAGTCAGGCCTCCCAAATTCAAAGATCCACTCCAAAGATAGCACCTGATGTGAATGCACAATTTTTGGAGGAAGAAATACAGATTGAAAATAATAAATGAAAAAATGTTCAACATCATTGGTCATCAGAGAGCAGTAAGTTAAAACAACTCTGAGATTCCTTCTTACCCCAGAAAGAATGTTTAGCACCAAGAAATTAACTGAGAACAAATGCCAGAAGGGTTGTGGGGAAAAGGAACACTTCTCTTGTACTGGCAGGAGTGTAGACTGGTGCGATCACTATGGAAATCAATGCGGAGATGCCTCAGTGAACCATAAGTAAAGGTCCCACTTGACTTAGTTATTCCCCTTCTGGGTACCTTTCCAGAAGAATTAAAAAGTTCATGCCACAGCACTATATATGCACCCATGTTTATAGAAACACAACTGTAGTAGGTAAATCTTGGAAACTATCCAAATGCCCATGAATTGAGGAATGGACAGAAAGGACTTAGTTTTGTTAAATATAAGAAGTACTACTTAGCCATAAAGAAGGATAAACTTGAGGTCTTTGTAGGTAAATAGATGCAACTCAGAATCATATTCTTAAGTGAAATGCATGAGACCAGGGTATGAAAGCATCACATGGTCTCATGTGTGAGAGGCTGAATCATTAGACATTTTGTACAATAGACATTTTGAACTGGAAACTATTCAAAAGAGAAAAGAAACTATGATGGGGGAAAGAAGAAAAGTAGGAAGGAAAAAAATATGATAATTAAGACAGTTATACTGCTGGTTTGTCTTAGCTCATTGAAAAGAAAGGTTTTAATATTGTTTGGACAAATTTCATGCTTATATTGTACTATAAGTAACCACTGTGAGGATAACAATATGCACTGTATTAAT